AAAATTGAAGATTAAGCATCATATTCATATGCGTTTATATTTTGTGCTTCATATATATTTAATATTTATTTTATAATTATGTTGAACAAATAAAAATACAGTAAGTTATTTGTAAATACGGTAGACTGCAAATACGGTAAAATTTTCAAATACGGTAGACATCATATGCGATAAGTTGAAAATACGGTAAGGTGCAAATACGGTAAATTGTTTGCAAATATGGTAGGCAACATATACGGTAAACTGCCTGCAAATATGGAAATTTGCATATATGGATTTATAATTTGTCATAAATGTATAAAATTTATTTAATATTGAATTTTTTAAGTATTAAATGTTGTAAGTCAATATTGTTTCATTTTTTATAATTGTATTTTCGAGAATTAAAAAAAATGGTTATGAAATTGCTAATTTTTAAATGTATTTTTTTTAAGATAAAAATGACTTTTTTATGTTATTTGTTAAAAAAAAAAATTTATTGCAATTTTATTAGCGTAATAAGAAGATTTATTATGCATTTTTATTTTTTGCATTTTATAAAGAAATTTGTATATGGTGATTGACAAATATTCTTTCACACACTCATCATGCCATCAACATTAAAAAATTAATAATAATTTTAGTATATATAAACTCCGTGAAACCAAAAAAAAAAAAAAAAAAAAGACTTTGCAAAATGCGGAGAGATGGCAAACTATCTCTCCGCACGGTGTGAAAAGAAAAACAAAAATTCTCGGGACTTTATCTGCAAGTTCTAACAGGCATTTTCTCAAATAACTTTTTAGCAATGCATTAAACACTTTAATTTTTGGCATACAACCAGAAAGTATAATTTCATTTAAAATTGTAGCTGCTTCTAATATCCAAGAGTTGTTATCAAGCAAGTGTAAGATATTTAATTTGAGTGATACTCTATAGCCTCCATTTGTGAAAGTAATGTCATGGTACTATCAATATCTCCTTCTTTGCACAACTCACATATTGTTTCATTGCATGAATTACGAGAAAGCTCCTTTCCAATACCGTAAATATGATTTGTATGCTCAGAAATTGAGCTGTGACTGAAATTTAAAGAAGACATAATTGATTTGAGCCATATTTTTCGATTCTGTTTCGTTGTATATACGAAAAATTTATAATCTTGAAATTAGACTTGTAATTAAGGAATTTGAAAACAATTCTCCGTATTGTGCGAAGAGATTTTTTTCTCTTTATATTGTGCGGAGAGTTGGTTTGTCATCTATCTGCACTGTGCGGAGAGTTTTTTTTTTTTTTTTACTCCGCACTGTGCGAAGAGTTTGCCAACCTCCCCACATGGTTCAACCCTCTCCACACTATGCGGAGAGATTTTATTTCTCTCCCTATTTTTTTTACTCCGCACATGATTCAACTCTCTACGCACTGTGCGAAAAGTTTTGTCATGGTGCGGACCAACTCTTCGCACTGTACGAAGAGATTAATTCTTTCCGCACAGTGCGGAGAGTTTTTTTTTTTGCTCTCCGTACTATGCGGAGAGTTGGTTTGTCATTTCTCCGCACTGTGCGGAGAGTTTTTTCTTTTAATTTTACAATATTGAATTACACAAAATTTAGAAATATAATTTTCATATTCAATTTAATCATATCAACACTATCAAAAAATACAAGTAAAATAGTTTGTATATTTCTTATTCAAATATGAAATATACAATTATATTTTTTCTAGATAACATACTATTATACAATTGTAAAAACAATTTGCAATTATTATCTTATATCATGGAAGTATTTTAGATATTGTTTCAAAAACTTTCCAAAAAAAAACTAAACTTCATACACTAATAAAAATATGATAAATACAAAATTCTTGCAACGCACGTGATAGCGACTAGTATTAAATAACCTTTCTACCTTTATAATAGGTTACACAATATCACGTTTCTCTATCATTTGCTAATTTAAAATATAGTCAACTTTTTTATTCAATTTTTTTATCCACATCATTTTATGTAATTTCTTATCTACCATTTTTATGTATAAGTAGCATAATCTTTCGTTAAATATTGTGTCAATATGCATAGTAGTGAAGGATGCAGGCTAGGGGTACTATTGTCTATCTAACATTCTCCAAACATGCGCTATATAAAAAGGCTAAGCTTTTTGGTGGAAATTAAAATCAAATTTTTTAGTAGATTTTAATAAAAGTTGATAAAGTGTGTGGTTGAACAGTTGTGAGACTCATGAAATATATGATTAAATTAAATTATTGATTTTACTTAAATTTAAATTTAAATTTATATACGCACCAAACATATCACAAGATATTTTTCCCCAATAACCGTACCCCACTATATAATTGTTATGAAAACTATAAACTTTATTTATTATTACATTTGCGTACCTAAACTTTTTCCAAATTGAATTCTCATTCTCAAATTATAATAAATTATTCTTAATGCAGTTTCCGTCCAAAAAATGATTAAAATGAAGTAAAGAAACTTATGTCCCTCATATTTTTTAAATAAGCGAACAAATAAATAATACAAATGTTGTGAAAATTTGTCATTGAGGACACATTAAGGTCTGACCCTTACTCCATTCCTTAGGAATTGTGGGTCGGGTTCAACCCTAGGAATTCTCAATCGGAATCCATACAATCTTCATTTTTTATTGAATTTAGCAAGCGGCCCCATAATACATCAAATAGTTCTTTTGTCACAAAATTTTGCTAATTAATGAAGGGTTAAGAATAAAAATGTGATGAAAAAAATTAGAAATAAAAATCTATAATGAATTAAAATTAAATAATTTTAATTTAATTCAGACATGGTGCACTTATAAGAAAATGTAGTTAGAATATAGTAATCACACGATAAAGCCTCCGAATTAACTAAAATTCTATTAATTGAATTGGGTCTATAAATCTAAAATATGCCGACTCCACTAAAAAAAAAGGGAAAATGAATTCTACACTGGTTTAGTGTATGTTTAGTTGTGCTTAAATAAAAATTAAATTTATTTTAAATTACTAATTTACCATAATTCAATCTATTATTTCTAACTTGATATCACAGCAAATAAAATTGTTGAGATAAAGTTTTATGTCACCTATTTTATATAAAATATAAAGAAATTTGATAGACAAGCTTGTTAAGCTTTTGGATCAAACTTTTGAAACTTCAATAAAATAAAACATATTTAAGAAATATATTATTGAGTCAATTTCAAACAATCATTATGTTCATATTTCTTCATTAATTATTAGAATCTCTAATTATTAAGGTATAATGAGAAGCACACCAGAACAGCTTAGTCAATTGGAGTTCGATTATGACCTTTAATTTGAAGTCGTGTCATGCTATTAATTGTTCAATTATAGCCCTAACTTTCAGGCCAAGGTAAGTTACTCGGAAAATGCTGTTTCCTTGACTTTCAGTTATTACATTTTCGACAACTCGACACATAATTTCTTTTGATTAATAATTTGAGACCAGTATTAAGGGTATAACATGTTCACATGTAATTAAAATAAGTTCGATTAACCCCCGGGACTTAATCCAGTAGTGCAAAGGATATGAGTGAAATAGTCTCAACTTTGCTGGCAACCGTAGTGTGAGGGTTCGATTCCTAAGATATGAAATTGGACTCTTTGTGGACACTAGTGTACGGGCAAACTCTTGTTCCCTGGTCTGCTATGACACGTCCTGCGATTTACCTCCTTCACGATGCTCCAAGGGCGGGGCCGTGGAGGGCCTCAAGATTGGGATTCAACCTTTAAAATAAGTTCGATTATAATTAAAAAAGTTGAATTTGAAACGTACAAATTATGCAAAGAAAATAATTTTTAACAATGATTTTGGTAGGCATATAATACAGAAGGAAAGCTCCAACTCAGCTGGATGGTCGGTGAAGAAGATGATATTAGCAGCCCAATTGTCCAATAAATAACACACACGAGGCAACCATGACATGCTCTGATGGGTAGTTGCACATAGTGCATACTTTTTAATTTAAACATTTCATTGGAATTCAGGATTCATGAGTTTTAATTAATGAAATGATTGATCTTTTTTTTAGTGTGTTTACTTACTAAAATTTGCACTCTTTTGGGTTTTTTTGTGCGTATATGCCGCGTTCAACGATTCCAAGAGACAATAAAATGAACGTGAAAAATAATTATACACATATCTTTAACAAATATGAAAAAATAAAACTTGTTGAGTCACAATTTAGACCAGAATGAATAGGTTTAGTTTGTGTTTTCTCTCAATTTATAATCGATATATTAACCTAGAGGTGTGAAACGGCTGCCTAATTATAAAGTTTTAAGATAGTGAATTTTTAATCAGGTGAGCACGTAGTTATCTCGATATTTTCTTCAAGAAAAGTTTGATGAAATAAACATGTTAGTGAAAATGCCTACCGTCAGCATATTAACAAAAGGATCTTACTATAATGAACCTAAACATACAGAAATGTCTAATGTAAACTAGATTAATCTATTTTAATAGAAGAAAAATGATAAAGAGATTAACAGATGTGTACGTGACAGCAGATGACTGGATGAAAATTCTGAATGTATTTTAAATTACAACCATGCTACACTACCACAAAATTTGACACATTGGTTGACACAATACACTCACATGGGAGGTCGGTATTATTTTATTCACACGTGACTCACACCTCGGTTGTAAGTATGGTGTTATCCTTTATGTCAAACAATATGTTCGTTTAACATTTTCCTTTAAACTATTCAATGACATGATACCTAGTGATATTTCATTAAATATTATGTCAATTATTATGTCGCTACTGTAGCATAATTGAAATAAACTAGGTGCATATGTTAAAAATGGAAAGCGTGTTAATTTCATTCAACCCAAACCCTAAAGCTACCCCTACGCTTCAACCCCCCGGAATGGGCGTAGTCGGCACAGACATTAACATATGACAGGGACTTGACACAAAATATCATTTCCTTGTTATCAAACCATTTTTGTGGCTTAAACTCTCTCCACGTGTCACTTATGGGCTTGCCAGCAACCATATTTCTCTCTATGACTTGGTGAGATAGATAGTGAGATACAAACTATTATTGGCACAGACTCCTCTATTACACTACAAGCCTAGTCAACGTTTTTAGAGAATGATACAAGATGGTGGTGTTAGTGCTGGCGCAGCCAGGGCAAAGTGTTTTCCGGCGGGATGGAATGCGGCGGCAAAGCCATGTGACTATTGCAAGTCTGCGGCTGCGTTGATATTTTGCGTGACAGAGTCGGCCTTTATGTGCATGACTTGTGATGCTAAGGTGCATAATGACGACATATCTTTAAAGCATGAGCGTCTGTGGACGTGTGAAGTGTGCGAGCAGGCCCCTGCCAGCTTCAGTTGCAAGGCGGACGGTGCCGCACTATGTGTCGTGTGTGATCGGAATATCCACTCGGCCAACCCTTTAGCCCGCCGCCATGATCGGACCCCGATTGTGCCCTTTTATGATACTGCAGAGTCAATGATGGAGTCTGCCTCAGTCGCTGCCACCTACTTATTGCCTGTTAAACACTTAAGTAGCACGGAAACGAAAATGGAAAACGCGACAGATAATTGGATAACTTTAATGAACCTAAACATACAGAAATGTCTAATGTAAACTAGATTAATCTATTTTAATAGAAGAAAAATGATAAAGAGGTTGACAGATGTGTACGTGACAGCAGATGACTGGATGAAAATTCTGAATGTATTTTAAACTACAACCATGCTACACTACCACAAAGTTTGACACATTGGTTGACACAATACACTCACATGGGAGGTCGATATTATTTTATTCGCACGTGACTCACACCTTAGCTGTGAGTATGGTGTCATCCTTTGTGTCAAACATTATGTTCGTTTGACATTTTCCTTTAAACTATTCAATGACAGGATACTTAGGGATATTTCATTAAATATTATGTCAATTATTATGTCGCTACTGTAGCTGCTACATTGAAGTAAACTAGGTGCATATGTTAAAAATGGAAAGCGTGTTAATTTCATTGAACCCAAACCCTAAAGCTACCCCTACCCTTCAACCCCGCGGAATGGGCGTAGTCGGCACAGACATTAACATATGACAGGGACTTGACACAAAAATATCATTTCCTTGTTATCAAACCATTTTTGTGGCTTAAACTCTCTCCACGTGTCACTTATGGGCTTGCCAGCAACCATATTTCTCTCTATGACTTGGTGAGATAGATAGTGAGATACAAACTATTATTGGCACAGACTCCTCTATTACACTACAAGCCTAGTCAACGTTTTTAGAGAATGATACAAGATGGTGATGTTAGTGCTGGCGCAGCCCGGGCAAAGTGTTTTCCAGCGGGATGGAATGCGGCGGCAAAGCCATGTGACTATTGCAAGTCTGCAGCTGCGTTGATATTTTGCGTGACAGAGTCGGCCTTTATGTGCATGACTTGTGATGCTAAGGTGCATAATGAAGACATATCTTTAAAGCATGAGCGTCTGTGGACGTGTGAAGTGTGCAAGCAGGCCCCTGCCAGCTTCAGTTGCAAGGCGGACGGTGCCGCACTATGCGTCGTGTGTGATCGGAATATCCACTCGGCCAACCCTTTAGCCAGCCGCCATGATCGGACCCCGATTGTGCTCTTTTATGATACTGCAGAGTCAATGATGGAGTCTGCCTCAGTCGCTGCCACCTACTTATTGCCTGTTAAACACTTAAGTAGCACGGAAACGAAAATGGAAAACGCGACAGATAATTGGATAACTTCCAACCCAGTTACATCGAAACTTTCTGAAGACATGAAATTCATGGAATTATTGATTTCTAATTCTGATCAATTCTTGGATTTTGAGTATCCAATTTCTGCCGACAGTGTTGTCCCTGTACAATCCATAAAGCCTGCTGTCCCAACAAGAATGACTGAGTATTCATATGAAAATCCTTTTGAGATTGACTTCAATAAATCCAATATAAATTCATACAACAGCAGCTATACCATTACCACCCCGTCCTTTAGTGTAAGTACAATTCTTGATTCTTTCTAGTATATATTCCTTTGTTATAAATTTTTGGTAGTTTGATTGATTCTTGGTTAGTTTTTCAGGTCTCATCGTCGTCGTTGGATGTGGGAGTTGTGCCTGATGGGAGCATCCTTTCAGATACATCGTTTTCTTTTACGCTAAACACGAGCATCAGAGGAAATGAAGCTTCACACATGGTGGGAATGGATAGGGAAGCAAGAGTCTTGAGGTATAAAGAGAAGAGAAAGAAGAGAAAATTCAACAAGACTATACGTTATGCTTCACGGAAGGCCTATGCCGAGACAAGGCCAAGAATCAAAGGGAGGTTCGCCAAAAGAACTGAGTTTCAATCTGATACTGATAGACTCAGTACTTTCAATTCTTTCTCAGCCAATCTCATTGCTGATGATGCCGGATTTGGCGCCGTCCCTTCATTTTGATGCAAGAAATGGATTAAAAATGTTGTAAACAAAAGTAATATGCTGATAATTTAAGTTTCAATAATCCGAAATAAATTGAAGAAAAATGTTAGAAATTCATCATATTGCAGAGACATGACATTTTGTACGAGTTTCTGCTATCTAAAAGCCCAAATACTTTGTATTGAAGGGCTTAATGTAATTTGTTTGTACAAGAAGTTGTATAGCCATATTTAAAGTAGTTTAAACAAAATTGATCGATTAGTAGAGCACATTTGACTAAGCCTTAAGAAAATTGAAAGTACTTTCATGGAAAGTCTACGTGCAATAAGTTTTTACATTTAAACTTTCCTAGAAAAGTCCGAACATGTCTGGCACAATAATTTACTTAGAACTAACTTAATTCACATTTTTCAGGCTTAACCATACAAGGAGAAATACAGAAAAGTTAGCAACCAATATAAAACTTCATCCAGCAGTGCTAGAAATCCAAGGACATAGGGCGCCTATGTGACACCCCCTATTGGAAGGCAGGCCCCTAATGAAATCCAGGGCCACAGGGAGCCTATGTGACACTCCCTATTGGATGGCCTGCCCCCTATTGGAGGGCCCGCCATCCAAATAGGGGGCAGGCTCTCCAATAGGGGGCACATATGGAAATCCAGAGCCACATTATTCCAAATTTGTCACATATCAACACTTCCGATATGTTTTGAAAAATTGTAAATTTTACAGTGGTTGTGATGTATGAGGTAATATCTATCTTAAAAGATGTATCCAAATGGTCTTGGACCTCTTTTGGTGAATGAAGTGGATCTTTTCCTGGCCGATGGGACAGGGGGGCTCTTCTTGCCCAAAAGTTGGTGGCTTCTTGAAAATGAAGTTAGCTAGGGGCTTAATGTTTTATTGGACAATTTGAAGATTTTGTGTTGAAGGTTATGGTCAGAAAAGATAAAAATATGTATTGTTATGGAATCTGTCACTGGTGGTGAACTCTTTGATAGAATTGTAAGTTTATGGGCACTTTGTTCTGCAATCGTCGATTGTAAATTCGATAACACATAGTGCGCAATTTCAATGAAGTAAGAAGAATATGTCACATGTGCAGTTACCACTTTGCTTCGAAGAATATCAATGAAGACTGGGGAGTTTGAAGTATGAAAACTCAAGTTGATAATTTAAGTTTCAGTAATCCGAAATAAATTGAAGAAAAATGTTAGAAACTGATCATATTGCAGAGACACGACATTTTGTACGAGTTTCCGCTATCTAAAAGCCCAAATACTTTGTATTAAAGGGATTAATGTAATTTTTTTTTTTTTTTAATGAGGTGTCCCAGCTTACGCCAGACTATATCCTCATCCCTGAACTTCCGGCCCCTCAGCAGCTCAGGGAGGTAAATCGCGGGATATGCCCAAATTGATCAGGGTTCGAACAGCCTTTACACTCCTGACCCCAAGGGAGCCTCCTCCATGGTTATTACATCACCAAACTGCTTCAACTCTTCCTCTGGTTATTACAACACTCAGCTGCTCCAACCAGGAATCGAACTCTCCACCTGGGGTTACGAGCCCCGTACTATCCTTTTTTTGCCAACTTGGATGTGCCCGGGGGGCAGGGATTAATGTAATTTGTTTGTACAAGAAGTTGTATAGTTTAAAGTAGTTTAAACAAAATTGATCGATTGGTAGAGCACATTTGACTAAGCCTTAAAAAAATTGAAAGTACTTTCATGGAAATTATAAGTGCAATAAGTTTTTCCATTTAAACTTTCCTAGAAAAGTCCAAATATGACTGCCACAGTAATTTACTTAGAACTAACTTAGCCCCCTATTTGCCCCCATTTTTTGTAATGAAAATGGGGGGAATAATGTTTGTTAAAAAAATAAGTGGTTGAAAAAGAAGGAAAAATTTTTAATTTACATATAATATTATTTTATGAAAAATTGTGTGATTAAAAATAGGAAATAGAAAAATAGAATGTAATGGAATGTAATTTAATGGGGATCAATCATGAGCTTAATTCACATTTTCAGGCTTAACCATACAAGGAGAAATACAGAAAAGTTAGCAACCAATATAAAACTTCATCCGCAGTGCTAGAAATAGGGACATAGGGCGCCTATGTGACACCCCCTATTGGAAGGCAGGCCCCTAATGAAATCGAGGGCCACAGGAAGCCTGTGTGACACTCCCTAGTGGAGGGCCCGCCATCCAAATAGGGGGCACCTATGGAAATCCAGGGCCACATTATTCCAACTTCGTCACGCATCAAAACTTCCTATATGTTTTGAAAATTTGTAAATTTCTACAGTGGTTGTGATGTATAAGGTAATATCTATCTTAGAAGATGTATCCAAATGGTCTTGGACCTCTTTTGGTGAATGAAGTGGATCTTTCCCTGGCTGATGGGACAGGAGGGCTCTTCTTGCCCAAAAGTTGGTGGCTTCTTGAAAATGAAGTTAGCTAGGGGCTTAATGTTTTATTGGACAATTTGAAGATTTTGTGTTGAAGGTTATGGTCAGAAAAAATAAAAATATGTATTGTTATGGAATTTGTCACTGGTGGTAAACTCTTTGATAGAATTGTAAGTTTATGGGCACTTTGTTCTGCAATCGTAGATTGTCAATTCGATAACACATAGCGCGCAATTTCAATGAAGTATGAAGAATATGTCACATGTGCAGTTACCACTTTGCTTCGAAGAATATCAATGAAGACTGGGGAGTTTGAAGTATGAAAACTCAAGAAAGTTATTGGAAACTATACTGGTCCACTAAAAGAATTAGAGGTAGAATTAATCACGCGAAGATGGTAATTCCCTAAACTCATTAATTATATTGTGAATAAAAATATCTAATCAGATCCTCAGACCAGTAGACCCCGATAAAATAATAATAATAATAATAATAATAATGTAATTCTGTTTTTCTACCGACTAATTTCAAACACAAACTAATTGACTTTAATTGGACCAGCTGGAAGTAACAAATTATCTTGACAAAAACTTGGTGTCACAATCTTCTAAGAAACATCTTACTCTCTGAAGTAGCCAATCTAAATATGAAGCTGTAACATATTTAATTATTGAGTTAACTTGGTTCAAGTCGCTTCTTTTACTATTAAAGATTCTCTGTGTTCATACATGTTATAACCGATACATGTGACATATAAGTTGAACAAAATTTAATTTTTAACAATATTGTGGTCTAAAAATTAATGAGACGAGTTGAGGATGTAATGAAAAATGGGAAAAATTGAGGCAACTCTACTTTAGATTTATAGTACCTGAAGTCCATCACCCCATCCCTCAGGTCCCCATGACCATGAGTGTGTGCGATTGGAGAGTGCTTGGTTTCGATTAGATGTGTTTCATGCGGATAGTCGCTAACAATTTAAAAAAAAAATCAGACGATTGTGTAAGGAACAGACCTCTTGAGACAAAGTTCCAAAAAGGAGTATTTTATTGGCGATGATTTACAATTGGAAATAAACAGAATGCCTCCAAGGGACGCAAGCACACGAGTACTAAAGAAGTGTTTAAATTTAAGTTAAGAAATTAAAGTTACATATTCTCTATTTGAGAGTGTTTGATTCCGAGTCTTTTTTTTCTCTATGTCTTCTCTTCTTTTTATATTTCCTTGATAATTTCTTCGTGACAAACCGTTTGGAAACTGCTTGATTGCTGTATAACTACCCACTTTCTTTATGGTGGCTAACTTGTTGTGGAACTGCTGTCTCTAACTGTTGTCATTACTCTTTGTCGTTCAACCGCCTTCAACTGGGCTCCTTGAATCGTGGAATATGATAAGATCACTAAATAACTGTTTCAATAACTGCTATTTTGGATAACCATAATGTTTTATGCTTGCTAAGATCCTGGGCGATTCGAAGGTTTGGGCGAGAACGGGGTCATCGCTCTGGGCGACCGTAAGGTACTCCATTCGCTTAGATTCTGGGCATCTTGCAAGCTTGGACGATGATATTACCGTATTCGTGAGCTTCCATCGCATTCATCAATAATCATGTTTAGACCTTTATCCTGATTCCCCAATTGGGCTATTTGATTTGGGCTGCACTTTTAGTGTGTCAACGATTACCCCCCAATATGGCAGAATTAATACCAATTATTAACTTTTGTCATATTCACTTTGTATTTTCCAGCAATATTTGAAATTTCCAAGAATTTCAATCATTATTTCCTTCTACAGTTTGAAAAGGTACAACGTTACAAACCTTTATAAACCCAAAAGACACGCCATTTCATCGCACCACTAAACCACGTCTCTATATTTCGTGCTTTCTCCTCGCTATTTTACTGTTCATCTTCTTGCTTCTCTGCTACGTTTCTCAGGCAAATCTTAACAAAACTGTACTTTGTTCCTAATGGCGACTTCACAAACTCAATCTAATGATTCTTTTAGTTTCGAAGATTTTCAGAAAATCCTTACTAAGCCGTATGTAAATTCAAACTTCCTTGCACAAGCTAATGCTGACCTCAATAAATTCTATCTGGGTCCATCGTTCAATAATGTCGAAGCCGTTGGACAAGTGGCGGTGGGCCAGCTGTTCCCTTGCACTCAAGGTCCTCCGTTCCTGAATTTTCTACCATTGAGGCCGATTCACGAAAAAGGTATTCGCACTTGGCCCAAAGCTGATGTTATTTTTCGTAGATGGCATGCACGTCTTGTGAATCATGGCCTTACCAAGGTGATTTTTGATCGTGTTAGGATTTCAAATTTATTAGAGATCACTCTTCAACCCCCAATTTTCGACCCAGTGCTTTTTCCTATTGCTTTGAGTTTTTGGTCTTTTGAATATAACACCTTCCTTTTCCCTCTTGGTCCCATGTCTATTACTTTAAGCGACGTTGGAGCCCTAGTAAATCTTCCACCTTTGGACGATACCATCTTTCCTAGTATCTTGATTTCCAGTGTTGCCCCGAAATTTGACAAGAAACTTACTGAGTCCTATTCAAACCTACAAGGCTTTTATAATCACTCAAGCGCTGAACCTTCCCATGCTGAGCTTGTGGTCTTTCTTCGGATTTGGCTCTATAAATATGTTCTCTGCGTGCCAAGCATGAAACCTTCTATAAGCTACTTATCCATAGCGCATGAATT